GTTTGGGGTTCCTGGGCTAGGGCCAAATTGTTCAGTTCAAACTAAAAGAGCAGGAATCTGGTAAGCACAGTGAGAGTCTTATCTAAGGAGCATATAAGGCATACAGGCACTAGGAAGCAGAGGAAACTTGATCCCAAGGGCTGTTGGGAGAGACCTATCAGAAACTTATATTTGCTTGTGACTTTGTGGGATGCTATACAGGACATGTGCTTCCCTGAGGGAGCTAGTGTCAGTTTAAGATCACTGCAGGCCATGTGGCCAAACAAAATGGATGTGGAGGTGGCACTACCATGGACCAGCTTAACTAAATACTTGACACAGTGATAGACAGACACATGTTCCATTGTCTGTCCTCACGGATTCCAGTGTGTCCTCAGGAGTTTTAGTTTGTCTTTGTGCATTCCAGTTGCTCATTATGTGTTTTAGTTCTCTCATATGTCATGTTCATTTTTACTTCCCAACTGCTGGCCTGACTTCTAGCAACTTTAGGCCAAAGATCAGAACAGATGTAACAGCCTTATGTAGCCTTCTCTACTGGCTTCTAAATAGCATAAGGTCTAATCCCTACAATAAATCTTCTCCTGACCCCAGAACAGTAAAATATTTTAATCATTTTGGAAAAGTTTTCAGCCACTGTCTTTTCAAATATTATTTTTACCCCATTTTTTATCATCTCTACTTTTGAAACTTTAATTTTATGTGTATTAGAACTTCTTTATCCCCGAGTGCCTTATGAATGAAAATCTTGTGAATTTTTTGTTTATTTGCCCATTTGTCTCTGTTTCATTCTTGAAATTTTTTCTGACCTATCTTTTGTTTAACATATTTTTATTTTTTTAATTAATCTCCTTTTAAATAGTTAATTCTCTACTGAAATTCTTAATTTTGTCCCAGTCTAAACAGTTTAAGGATATTTATTTAGAAGTCTGTGTCTGATATCTTTCTTACCTAGATTTGCTGAAGATCTTTTTATGTTGTCCTCCCTTCCTCCCTCCCTCCTTCCCTCCTCTTTTAAGTAGGCTCCATGCCCAGTATAGAGCCAAACACAGGGCTTAAACTCACAACCCTGACATTAAGATCTGAGCTGATATCAAAAGTTGAACACTTAACTGACTGAGCCACCCAGGTGCCCCTCTTGTCCTTGTTTATTTAGGCATTCCCTAATGTGGTCTCCTCCCCTGGAATGCCTGATTGTTTTGCTTGAGTGCCAGACATTGTATATAAAAAGTTTGAATAGGTAATTTGAGGCCTTGAATTTCATTATGTCCTCTCAGTTACTCTGACAAGTAACTAGGTGTATTAGCAAAGCCTATTCACCTTAATTCAGTTTGATGTACTTAAATGGTTCAAAGCTAGGATTCAGTCCCCCAAAAGCAGTGTATTTCTGGTTTGTGCTTATTCCTAGGATAGCCTTGGAAGGTCCTAAATCAAAGTGTATAGTGTTTATCAGATTATACTTCTTGTTTGTTCTCCTAACCCTACGAGATACAGGAAGCCCTCCTTCTTATCTCAGCCACTTCTAGAGAACAATAACTCAAATGGCAAGTTATGTTTGTGGATTTCCTCTTTTACTTGAATCTTGGTTCCGTAGTTCTTCACTGCTTATTGGTTCCTTGATACCTTCATTTAGATTTTAAAGAACCTATTTAGTTTTTTAGTTGTTGTTCCCTTCAGCTAAAGAAAGGTAGACCAGAATTAAAAAAAAATTTTTTAGTGTTCCAAGATTCATTGTTCATGCACCACACCCAGTTAGAGCAGAAATTTTGATGGGGTAACTCACTTTCCTTCTTCTTCCCCCCACCACCCTGTGCATATTGTGGGGTTAGACTTCTCTCACCATTCCTTATGTTATATGGAAGTTCCCAGTGGCTCACCGTGATGTGCCTTTTTTTCCTCTCAGACCTTACTGTCAGCTAACAATTGGTGGTACTAATGTAATTGCAGTATGGAAGATATGCATTGGGGGAAGATGCAAGAAAGCTGCATTGTGCAGCTATGGGAAAGCAGGGATGGGGTCCTGGAAGAGTTCTTTAAGCACCGGTGCAATAAATGTGGATTTAGACAAAGTTGCGTTGACTAGGCTGTCCTAACAGGCTTTCTCTATTGTAGGATAGAGAAAAGGGACACGTGATTACGGTGCTAGGTGTATATAAAACAAATGACCAAGAGCAGAGAGAATGCTGCTTGAAAATAATAAGTTATAAGAAGCCTAAATTGGACAGTCCATGTAGAGTGAGCCTACTGCATATTCATCAGCAACTATATATTCCCAGATTAAAGGAGTGATGACCAAGAAAGACTTGCTTTTTCAATTCCCACTGATGTGTAGTCACTTAAGCTTACACTTTTTTTATTTTATTTTATTTTATTTATTTATTTGACACAGAAAGACACAATGAGAGAGGGAACACAAACAGGGGAATGGGAGAGGGAGAAGCAGGCTTCCAGCTGAGTGGGGAGCCCCATGGGGGCTCTATCCCAGAACCCTGGGATCATGACTAAGCCACCCAGGTGCCTCAAGCTTACTCTTTTTCATTCTTCTCACTTGCTTTTGTTATCTGCCCTCTGCCCCAAACCACCACCAAGAGTGAGTACAGATGAATGGAACAGGAAGAAGTAGAATAGGGAGGGAGGAAAAAAAAATCGCAGCTCTTCTTTACCTGAAGTTCATAGGAGGTGGATGAGAACTTCACTTGAGTTTGGTGAGAGAGTTTTTTGTTTTTGTTTTTGTAAAAGATTTTATTTATTTATTTGACAGAGAGAGAGATCACAAGCAGGCAGAGAGAGAGAGAGGGAAGCAGGCTCCCTGCTGGGCAGAAAGCCCTATGTGGGACTTGATCCCAGGACCCTGAGATCACGACCTGAGCTGAAGACAGAGGTTTAACCCACTGAGCCACCCATGCGCCCCAGTGAGAGAGTTTTGAGCTGAACTAAACTAATAATAATATTTACATGAGATTGAATATGCAAAAGAAGTTTGAAAGAAGTGGAAAAAAAAATCCAATGTGGCCAGAGAAATGATTAGAAAAGATAGAGGCACCATTAAATGGCAAACCTTAGCTTTCCATTCTTTTTTTTTTTTTTAAAGATTTTATTTATTTATTTGTCAGAGAGAGAGAGGGAGAGAGAGTGAGCACAGGCAGACAGAATGGCAGGCAGAGGCAGAGGGAGAAGCAGGTTCCCTGACAAGCAAGGATCCCGATGCGGGACTCGATCCCAGGACGCCGGGATCACGACCTGAGCCGAAGGCAGCCGCTTAACCAACTGAGCCACCCAGGCGTCCCTAGCTTTCCATTCTTACTTGAAAGCAAAGCCTATGTCATTTCTTGTTTAAGCTATTTGATTAATCCTTTGGCTGTATCTAGACTGATAGTAAGTCCATCTTTCATTTTCTTTCAAGAACTTTGATTGTTTTGATTATCCCTGTGCTTGTATTAAAACATCATATTCTTGGGGCCCCTGCCTGGTTCAGTCAGTAGAACATGTGGCTCTTGATCTTGGGGCTGTAAATTCAGTCCTCATGTTAGATATAGAGATTGCTTAAAATCTTTAAAAAAAAAAAAAAAAAAAAAAAAGCAAAATCATATCCTTGTTACATGGATATTAGTCCTTCCTTTATTTCTCTAAAATTCTTAAATATATTTGTTTTGTGATTCTTTTCTGATTGCTCTATTGCTCTGTTTTCTTGGATGCAAGTTACTCTATTTGTCAGCTTTATTGGATTCGTTTGTTGACACTTGATGATTTCTGATTTTTGGTTATAAGCTCATCTTCTACCGAATGCTGTTCCTGGTGTCTTGATTTGTGATACTTCTCAATATGGTGACTACTTGCCTGTTTCTTTCTTCTGGGTGTGTCTTATAGCCTCTGACCAAAGAGAATTTTCTTTGTTATTTTTAATGTGGCTATATGTTCATTAATCTATATTTTATAGTATTAAAATATAATTTCTCTAGGTTTTATATTGAGAGAAGGTAATTTCTGTTATCTGGAAATGAGTCTAAATTATTTGACATGTAATATCTAGACTAAGTATAATGCTGTTTCTCTTAGCAAATCATTATCATATCATATCTCTCATAATCTACTTTCAGAACAGAACACATTTGAACGGTTTTTGTGTTTTTTTTTTTAAAGATTTTATTTATTTATTTGACAGATCACAAGTGGGCAGAGAGGTAGGCAGAGAGGGAGAAGCAGGCTCCCCACTGAGCAGAGAGCCCAATGCAGGGCTCAATCCCAGGACCCTGAGATCATGACCTGAGCCGAAGGCAGAGGCCTAACCCACTGAGCCACCCAGGTGCCCCTTGAACTGTTTTTAAAAGGCCCAAATCTTTTAGCTCTAGCATAGAGCAATTAATACAGTAGCTATGGTTACAAGTATGATAGAAAACCTATGCAAATGGTCAAAGAAACTGCCAAAATGGAAAATACCAGTTTTATTAAGGTGGTGAACTTATGGATGACTTTTTCTCTTTTGACTTTCCAGAATTTCTGTATTATTATTTTTTTGAAGAGGACATAATTTTTGAGTATATATTCTAAATAACTTAAAAAAATCCTACCACTAATACAGACCCCCACCCCCCCAGTAAAGTACCCAGTTGCCTCTAGGATAAAGTTAAAACTTCTCAACCAAATATCTCCAAAGCTCTTCACAGATCTGTTCTCAGATTGCTTCTCTTATCTCCTTCCATTTTCTTTTTTTTTTTTTTAAAGATTTTATTTATTTGACAGAGAGATATCACAAATAGAGAAGTAGGCAGAGAGAGAGGAGAAAGCAGGCTCCTTGCCGAGCAGAGAGCCCGATGTGGGGCTCGATCCCAGGACCCTGAGATCACGACCTGAGCTGAAGGCAGAGGGTTTAACCCACTGAGCCACCCAGGCGCCCCTCTCCTTCCATTTTCTTATGCTTTATTTAGTTCAGTCTTGTTCCCCACCCTTGACACAGACACTACTAATTTCTGCTATGTTTTAAGGATTGAAACACATTTTTGCAGGGTCATTTTTCTAGGTACAGGATACTGGTTCTTTTGGTCCATTGTTTTGCTGAGTTTATTTGGGATCCTGGCTGCCTACTGTACATTGCTGGTGGTGAGTAATATTTCATTGCGGTTGGTGAGTAATGTTTTGCATTTCTCCTACTCTCTTCCTGAGTAGCCTTGTGAGGTCCTCTTGTCTGGGATGGCATCCAGTAGGTGCTGGGAGCCTTCATAACCTAAGATCACTCTTGTCTTCGCAGAGTTGGGGTTTACATCAGCTACTTGAATCTTAGGCACAAAGGATGGATGGAGGAAAGAAAGGCTTGTACTGTTAGACCATCTGCCTTACAACCTTCCCTTTTAAAGTGTGGCAGAACATCCTTTTTCTAATCTTGTTTCATAACCTATTTGATGGTTCAACTACCTCATTTCATATCCTGTCTCCTGAGAATCAGTCTTTCTGAGCCTTATAAATCAGCTAGTTTTTCAAACCTATTCTAAGGTGCAAATGAACATTAGTCCTCTAGTCCAGGTGCAGAGTACATTTTAGCAAATCTTTTGGCAAAGAGTGACCCTGTCTCTATTGCCTGACATAGTAGTATAGCATGGTATGAGAAATTCAGGCCAAGCAAGAGAAAAGTCTGTAGAAGAGGAAAGCTATGGGAGGATAACTTTCAGGTAATGGGAGTTTTTCAGTGCCCACTTATCTATAGAACGTATATATCTTTATCTGATTTCACAATTCACTGTCCTTACTGATTTCTTTTATGATACAGAAGACCTCAACCCACCAAATCCATTGCCATTTGCATTTTTTCAACAAAATTTATTAATCACTGTATGAGTGATAAGCACTGAGTATACAGTGATCAACAAAACATGCAGTTTCTGTTTTCATGCAGGGTACTTCCAAGAGATAGGTATGAGACGTCAAGTTAGTGTCTTAATTCAATGAGTTTAGACACTAGTAGGGCAACTAACTCATAGATAAAAATAACTAACACAGGCAGAACATTGTATTTGTCATTAGGGAGGCCTAAAAAAAGTTCTGCATGGGTTCTGAGAAGGAAAAGGTGACTTACAGCCAAGGGGATTAAGTAAGGTTTCTTGGAAGAAGTGGCACTGATGTGTGATCTTGAAGGGATGGTGGATTTGGACACGTGTATATGGGGATGGGGGAAGAACATTCCAGGCTGTGGAACATTATGACAAAGGTGCACGAAAAAAATTTGGAGTGTGACTACATTAAGAGGGCAAGGTCAGTTCTGTTAGCATGTAGGGAACACAGCTAAAAAGATGGGCTTGTGACAGATTTTGGAAGGTCTGGAAATAGGGCTAAGATATTTGGCATTAATCAGATTTCTATTTTAGGAAAACCATCCTGAAAATTGTGGTGTAGAGGGTGGCTATAGGCAGGGAGGGTGGCTAGAAACTTTTTAATGGGGAAAATGCAGATGAAGGATGTGCTCTGGGCAAAACTCTGACCACTGACTTGTACTGCTTTTACACAGTGAACATGAACTGGTATAGCTAGCTTCTAAGGTGGGAATGAATTCTAGTGTTCCAACAAGCAGTTTATTATGACTACAACAGACTTTCTACTCTACCCTACTTCTTTTTGAATACATACAGTGACAACAACAGTGCACAAAGAGGAAAACCTTAGTTCTGTTTCTATTGTTAGGTTACTTTGTAACCCTGGTCAAGTCATATAACCCTTTGAGCCTCCATTTCTTTTCTTTCAAATGAGAATGATAATACTTTTAAAAAATGGTATTTTATTGGGCTGGATAAAGAACAAATGAAATCAGATACATAAAATTATTTTGATAAAAAGTTTAAGACCTTTATACATTCCAACTCTCATTAATATCCTGAGCATCTAAGGGTTCTGATTTTGTTTTCCTCTCCATAGTGACTTCTAGACTGGCTAGAGTAGATTCAATTCTAATTAAGATTTATTGACTAAATATCAGGTTAACAACAGTAGTTAAGAGTTGTAACAGTGGCACTGATTCCTTGAGAAAGAGCTTTTTAATAGCCCTTGGAAGGGCTGGCCTCTGCCTTCTTTCACAAGTGGGTCTAAGTAATACCAGGAATACAGTTTATCATGGGGAAAAGAAATTGGTAGGAACTCAAGAAGGATATCAGTGTGGTGATTGTTATGAGATTCCAGAGATGAAAATAATTCTTCCTGGGGGTGCCGGTGAATGTTACAAATAGAGGTGACATTTGAACTGCCTTTGAAGAAGCATCAGTGGTGTGGGGAGGGAGAACTTCTCAGGCAGGGGAGTCTCATGGCAGACAACCAGAGGCTGCAAAGTGCAGGCATAGCGAGAAGTGAATGTAGTGCCAGACTGTGAAAGGAATTTTGAGCTACAGAACACTGCTTTGGGGAGTAACTTGGTGATTTCAACATAACCTCCTTTTTCTTCTTTGCTTTTCCAGGTACTTGCATTTTTGTTGGTTTGGGAAGGGTATGAACCAAACCTGCACTGGTTTCATAAGGTAGGACACTGAACCTTTGTAGGAGACCTTGGGCAGGACTGAATGTGCCTCTCAGGCACTCAGTGTTAAGTAGAGTCATCCTTCTTTCATTGTTCCCCTTAGAAAGAAGAGATCTATTTATATAGTTTTAACTGAAATAATTTAATTTCTAACAGATGTAACTGATTTACTGAAGGGACTGAACTCAAACTTCATTTTTCTTTTTTTCTTCTTTTTTTACCACTTGTTAAACTCGCTCTGTGACTGGTATTCCCCTTTTGCCTAAGTAACATCTTAGGCAAACTCCATTACTTTCTCAGTCTTTTATAGTCATAAGAACATTCTCATTTCCGTCATTGAAAATTTCAGTTCATCGTAATAACACAATCTTCAACATTATAAGATTTTTCCTCTCCTTTTTTGGACCTGACCCAAGCCTGGAAGCCTGCAGTGATAGAGCATGATGGTCCTTCTCACTCTCTTTTCACCAGAATAGGGCACAGGGGAAAGGGAGTAGGATAAAAGAACATAGTTGCGCAAAGAGGGGCAAGAGGGTCATCTGGGGTTGATGCTTTCAGGACCAGGTAAATGTACAGTTGTTGGCTTTTTATCTGACAGGCTTTTTCATTCATTTTTTTTGAAAGATTTGATTTATTTATTTGACAGAGATCACAAGTAGGCAGAGAGGCAGGCAGAGAGAGAGAGGCAAGCAGGCTCCCGGCTGAGTGGAGAGCCCAATGTGGGACTTGATCCGAGGACGCTGAGATCATGACCTGAGCCGAATGCAGGCGCTTAACCCACTGAGCCACCCACGTGCCCCCAACAGGCTTTTTATATGTGTATTTTCAGAGAACCTTCTTCTGCTGAGGACCTTGACTACACCTTTCTTGGTAGAGTCAGTATCTGTCTTCCTATACACCCAGAAATTTGTTGAGGTCTTTTCAACCTTCCCTTATTTTGGAGCCCTTTAAAATGACCCCAGAATGTGTGTCTCAAGGGATCTGTATCTGTTCCACAGGAAGCAGCATCTGTGCCCCAATATCTGCGAACGTGCAGCTCATTTCCAACATAGCCGCCCTCATTTTATCCTGCCATGGGCTTGAGCAGCTCCAGCCACAGCCTCTTGCCTTTCTAAAGATTTTTTTCAGGCATGGTTTGTTACCATATTTTGTTTTTCCCAAACCCAGGAACATATCAAACTCTGAGTTGTCCCCTTAAATTTCCTCCTACTCAAATGAGACGTATGAACTGAAAATGTAAATTTAAGAGTTATTAGAATAGATCAAAATTGAAGTTATAAGATCTTACAGGGAAAGAATATAGATTGAGAAGTGAAAAAATAAGCCTTATTGAGATCGCCATCTGTTTTGGAGTTGGGACACCATGATCAGTTAGTCACTACTGAGAGTCATGTGAAATCTAAAAAAGAAGACGAACAAATAGACAAAAAGCAAAATCAGACTGATAAATACAAAGAACAATTAGTTGCAGGGGAGTAGGGGTGGGGGGTGCTGGGCAAAATGGGTAAAGGGGAGCAGCAGATACAGGCTTCCACTTATGAAATGAATAAGTCACAGGAATAAAAGGTACAGTATAGGGAATATAGTCTGCGGTGTTCCAGTAATGTTGCATGGTGACAGATGGTAGTTACACTTGGGGTGAGCATAGTAACATAGTTGTTGAAAATGAAAATGCTAATTTGAAAAGATAATGAACCCCTGTGTTTATCACAGCATTATTTACGGTAGCTAACATATGGAAGTAGCCTATGTCCATCAGTAGATGAATGGATAAAGAAGATGTGGTATACATACACAATGGAATATTACTCAGCCATAAAAAATGAGATCTTTTTTTTTTTTTTTTAAAGATTTTATTTATTTATTTGACAGAGTTCACAAGTAGGCAGAGAGGCAGGCAGAGAGAGAGAGAGAGGGAAGCAGGCTCCCTGCTGAGCAGAGAGCCCGATGCGGGACTCGATCCCAGGAACCTGAGATCATGACCTGAGCCGAAGGCAGCAGCTCAACCCACTGAGCCACCCAAGCACCCAAAAATGAGATCTTGATATTTGCAGCAACATGGCCCATCCATGGGCCTAAAGAATATTATGCTCAGTGAAATAAGTCAGAGAAAGACAAATACCATATAATTTCACTTGTATTTAGACTCTAAAAAACAAAGCAATAAGCAAACAAAAAGCAGAAACAAACCTGAAAATACAGAGAACAAACTGGTGGTTGCCAGAGGGGAGGTGGGAGGGAATAAGCCAAAAGAGGGTAATGGAGTGTGGAGTGGAAGTTATAGCTTCCAGTTATAGAATTAATAAGTTACAGAAATGAAAGGTGGTACAGCATAGGGAATATAGTCAATGGTATTGTAATAGTGTTGTATGGGTGATAGATGGTAGCTTGAGGTGAGCATATCATAATACATAGATTTGCCCAATCATTGTGTTATACACCTGAGACTTTTGGAACATTGTGTGCCAACTATATTTCAATGAAAAAAAACCACACCCCACATTTTAAGTCCCAAGAACAGATTGTATCTTAATATAGAAGAGGAAGGACATTTTTCTGAGTAACTGCATTTGACAGGTTCACATTTTTCTAAGAGAAAATGTTTTATATGTACTTTCTAATTGCCTGTATCCTTTGAATCATTAATAAAAAGTTTGGTGTTGAGTAGATCATAGAATCCTATGAGATTCATATGAGTCTGATTTGACAATTAAAACCTTGTGTTGGGATGCTTCTTTTTTTTCAGTAGGCAACTTAAGATTTCTGCATCTGTGTACATAGGAGAGATTGGCATGTACAGGCATACCTTATGTCACTCTGCTTCAGTTTATTGCAGTTTGCAGACACTTTTCCTTTATTACCATATACTGTATTGTTTGTTTCCGGGGCACAGATCTGTGATTCATCAGTCTTACACAATTCACAGCACTCCCCATAGCATAGACCCTCCCCACTGTTCATCACACAGCCACCCCGTTCCTCCAACCCCCCTCCACTCTAGCAACCCTCAGTTTGTTTCCCAAATTAAGAGTCTCTTATGGTTTGTCTCCCTCTCTGGTTTCATCTTATTTCATTTTTCTCTCCCTTGCCCTATGATCCTCTGTCTTGTTTCTCAAATTCCTCAGTCAATGAGATCATATGATAATTGTCTTTCTCTGATTGACTTATTTCGCTTAGCAAAATGCCCTCTATTTCCATACACGTCGTTGCAAATAGCAAGATTTCAGTTTTTTGATGTCGGCATAATATTCCATTGTATATATATATCATATCTTCTTTATCCATTCATCTGTTGATGGACATCTAGGCTCTTTCCATAGTTTGGATACTATGGACATTGTTGCTGTAAACATTATGGTGCACATGCCCCTTCAGATCACTGCATTTTTATTTTTAGGGTAAATACCCAGTAGTACGATTGCTGGGTCATAGGGTGGCTGTATTTTTAACATTTTGAGGAACCTCCATACTGTTTTCCAGAGTGGCTGCACCAGCTTGCATTCCCACCAACAGTGTAGGAGGGTTCCCCTTTCTTG